TCACTCATGGTTAAAAGCCTATCAGTTAGTTGTAATCAATCCTTTGGACAGGATAATAGTGGGCAGACTTTGGACTGGGTGTCTGGATGCTGAATTGGACTTGGATGGGGCTGTATTGTTGTTAATAATGTTTTAAATTGATATTTTATAACTTAATGTTTTAACTAATGTGAAACACAATCGGCGCTGACAAAATTACCATCTGCCAGCTGCAAAAGGCCACCTTACTGGGATCTGCATGCATTATTCGCCGATACATCACACAGTCCTAGACACTTGGGTAGTATCCGACGTGTGATCCAATACAACAGCCAGCAGAATGATCTTGTTTGCTGTGGACTCATCTTGTTGTGTTTCAAATAATAATAATAATAATAATAATAATAATAATAATAATAATAATAATATGATTTAAAGATAGAACTGCAAAGACTCTGGCATAAGCCAGTAAAGTTGATCCCAGTGGTGCTTGGCACACTGGGTGCAGTGCCTAAAGACCCTCTCCTGATAGCTCAAGGTGGGGTACAAAAAATTGAAAAATAAATAAATATAAAAATAAATAAATAAATACAATAGATTACTAAATTTCATTGATAAACACACACCAAACACAGCTACAGAATTAGCATATAGGGGTAATAGAATGCAAATCAAAACTCATGATTGAAAGTTGACTGACTAGGCCTACCAGAAGAAATGAGTTTTCAATTGCATTTTAAATTCTGACACCTTGTTTAGCTGTTGGATCTCTTCTTGGGGTAGTTGATGAAAAGGTCCTTTGAGTGACAGTCATCAGTCGGGTTCTGGCTGGTTGGAGTAGATGCCACCAGATAACCTAAGTGTTCGAAAGGGCAGATAGTGCAAAGGAAGGTGATCCTGTAGGTAACCTGGACCCATATAAGGGTTTAAAGGTCAAACACTGCTTTTAATTTCCCAAACTCTGAGTAGGACAGATTGTGTTAAAGCATAGATACTGAGACCTTGGATTTGGGACCCTCAAGCAATAGAAACTCTGAAGAGAGAGAGAACCCACTACTTCACCCATCTCACATACACTTAGGATATGCTATTCTTAGTAGAGTGTACACTTAGTCCCAAAATTCTAAAGATAGGTTGTTGTAGGGGTTTTGGGGGGCTATATGGCCATGTTCTAGAGGCATTCTCTCCTGACATTTCACCTGCATCTATGGCAAGCATCCTCAGAGTTACCTCTGACGATGCTTGCCAAAGATGCAGGCAAAACATCAGGAGAGAATGCCTCTAGAACATGGCCATATAGCTCCCCAAAAACCCTTACAACAACCCAGTGATTCCAGACATGAAAGCCTTCGACAATACATCCTAAAGATAGTTTGTTAGTTGCATCTGAGCAATGGAATGTAGCCCTGTGGATTTTCCTTACACAGGTCCAAAAATCTTCTAACTAAGGGATGCCAACAGTTGTACCAAGGAAAATTACCCTTTTATCTAGCCAAGCCTCAATGTCTGGCTAGCCTAGGATTTCAGTCAAGCTTGCCCTCATGGTGTCCATGGAATATTTTGGAAAACCATTATGGTTTAGGGGCTGGTAGAAGCTGTAATTCAAAATACTTAAGAATGGCAGCATTGCCTCCCCCCCCTTTAATGACTTTTGAACTGCACTCATACCCTGCTTTGTTCCAGGCTTTATTGTTGTGATAGATGGCACCAAGTGTATCAGGGATGGGGGAAGAAAATAATTACTTGAGTCAGACAGAAACTTAAGTCTTTTGGAGTCCATAAGCTTCATATGTCTAACCTCAGAGAAGAGAGGGGAAACACTTTGTACAAAGCACACAAAGCTTTGCATTCAGCCTGGCAAACTCAAATTCATCACCCTCGAAATGCTGTGACGGAAGGCAATGGCATCTGAAATGGCTGGACTGGAAATTAAAGATAGCTCAGAGTGTCGATGAAGTGCGTGTGAAAAGAGGCAATTCCACACATCTGCCGGCAATCAGCACTTATTCTGAAACACCCTTTTCATCACACATACCTACCTACCCCTTGAGCGCTCTTGGACTATTCTTTCAAAGACTCCGAGAGGCTGGCCTGCTTGGCAATCTTGTCGCATGAACACACACACTCCTATTGCTACTTGCTTGGAAGTCTGAAGAGTGGAGTGTGTTGAATAGTCCCTAGTAATTCAATTTGTCTAATCCTTAGATGATAGAGAACAGTGATTTGCAGAGGACAGTTCAAGGAGTAGGGGGAGAAGGGTGGGAGGCACTGATGCCTCTGATTCTTAGGCCCAGTTTATGCATGCAGAGGAATCAAGTGATAACACTGTCCCTTTCTTTTCTACTTCAGAATAAAAGTGGTTACAGGTTATTTGCATACACATATGCACATGTCTGTCTGTCCACTTGTCCATCCCCTTCTCTTTCTAACATAGGCTTGTCAGCTGAGGACCATCAGAGGCTCTGAGGTTTCTGGGATAAAACAGGGGACTTGGGATGGCACCTGGTAATGTCATTAAGCATTATGCATTAAGGACTAAGTGCATTTGCTCACAGCTCATCATTGAAACATATATACATCACAAGAAAAAAACTTATTATTTTGTTTGGAAATTAAGATGTAAATTTTAATTAAAGCATCTATTCCCAGATCACGATGAAAAGAGGGGATTATCTCTTGTTGGGGAATCTGAGCTGTTAGGCTCAAAAATTATGATTCCACCATAAATATAGCAGAGTACTAGAAGTAAACTTCATAACGAGCAGAAACTTACATATGGTGAGCCAGGATAAGCTTCCAGTCAAACAGAATGGCACAGGATTGCAGAGACAGGACTTTAGGTTCAAAATATTGATTAAAGAAAAGAATAACATTCTAGATAGAAAAGGGCTTGGAGCTAACTAGCTTACTAAATCTCATCTTCTAAGAAAGGTAAAAGGATAAAAAGTCAAAATATCCATGCAACTACATTTTGCCTAGAGAGAGAGGCAAAATGTGTCTTCACTGGAAGGAAGTAAAAGGCAGAAAGAAAGGACAATGGACGATTGCTTTGTGGCCAAGCCCAGGGCAATAAAATACCTTTAAAAGCAAGTTACCTTACAGAGATTCCATTGCTACATCTTCAAAGGGGAAGGGGGAGGAGATAGTGGCAAAAGGGGAGAAGAGGAAAGTCAAAGCCCTTTCTGGGAAAGCCTGCATAGGAATGTTCGGGGGGGGGGGTGTCCCTCACTCTAATCCTATCTCTAGTCTAGCTACTAATTGAATTCTGAAGATTTGATGATGTGAGAGACTTGTGCAGTCCAGGGATGAAACCCAACATTCCTTCTCATATACTTACAGAGACAGGATAAGGAACATTTTATTTAGCCTAGTCATGAGCCCCTGGTGGCGCAGTGGGTTAAACTGCTGAGCTGCTGAGCTTGTTGTCCGAAATGTCACAGGTTTGAATCCGGGAAGCAACATGAGCTTTTGCTGTCAGCTCCAGCTTCTGCCAATCTAGCAGTTCAAAAACATGCAAATGTGAGTAGATCAATAGGTACCGCTCCAGCGGGAGGGTAACGGTGCTCCATGCAGTCATGCTGGCCACATGACCTTGGAGGTGTTTACGGACAATGCCGGCTCGTTGGCTTAGAAATGGAGATGAGCACCACACCCCAGAGTCAGACACGCCTGGACTTAATGTCAGGGGAAAACCTTTACCTTTTACCTAGTCAAAAGGTGGATGCAGAGTAGAGGTGAAGCCCTGGTACTATAAATTCATAGACCTCTTCAGTGGTCTATGTCTTTGCAAGTTACAGCAACAAATCAACTAAAGTTTCCAATGTCTATCAAACTGGTCCTCTACTGCTGGCAATTTGCAAGCACCCCTTTTTTTCTTGAACAAAAGGGAACCCAGTGAAACTGGAAAATTTGCACCCTCATCTTCCACCTCAAGATGACTCACAAAAACTGAGTGTCAGGGACAAATCATGAGATCTGGCAATTCTATAAGGGTTGGAACAGGAGGGAAAGAAAAGAGAGAGAGAAAGGGAGATTAAAAGCATCCAGAATTTTAGTGGACAGAATTGCTATGGGATACAGTAGTCCAGAGTTTGCTCAAACCTTTCTAGGTTTTGTATAAAATGATATTTTAATGAGATAGATTTTAATAAGACCAGATTTTTAATGTAAAACCCAGCACAAAATGAAGAAGGTGTGGAGAGGACAGAGGGAAATAAATAAACTCAGGTGCCCCAATTTTCCCCATCATGGAAGTAGGCAAATATGACCTGGCAGTTTCAGAGCAGGAAGGGTCAAGTGGCCATTATGGACAAACATTAGGGTAGGATGTGTTGCTTCACTTCAGCAACAACAAGGTGGAATGTATTACAATTGGTAGATTATAATGTTCCTCCATGCAAAGCTTCATAGCCATAAAAAACTGTACTGAAGATAAATTTTCAGTTGTATCATGAAATGTTCTGTCTGTCCATAAAGGGTTTTAATTTTTCTTGATCTGGGCTTTTCAGTCTTTGCCTTCAGTCTGCAGTGGCATAGCCCAGAAAAGCTGTAACATGGGTGTATCTGAATTTACCAGATTTTTTTATGGACTGAAATACCCATCTTTTTGGAGGAGAAACAGAAATAAAAATCTGATATACTGTATGTTGGCATATAGGAATCCACAGCTCGTGGTGGAGATCCTTTAATAGCTGCCCTCTTCTTTATACCTTCAATTGGATCGGCAAAAATAAAATATAATTAGCCAGTTGGAAATGGATACAATCAGTGCAGTGTGCAGCCCAATTGCCATTATTTATTTGTTGGTTTATTTCATGCATTTCTACCCCACCCTTCTCCCCCCGAACTTTATAAAGATAAATAATTTTAGGAAATAATTTTAGATTAATGTGCAGTTTTGGGGAGGGGTTTAAAAGCAGGAGGCTAAAAATGTGGTCTGCACCTTGAGCTGACCATTTTCAAAGAGTTACCAACACACACCTGGTTTGGTCATTCATGGCAGTCTTCCTTTTTCATTCTAGGTGACTATTGCAGTAGCTCTCCGTGCAATAATGGGGGGACCTGTGTCAATGAAAGACGGGGTTTTGTCTGCGCTTGTCGCTATCCCTTTGGTGGAGTCAATTGCAGCACAAAGATGACGGAGGAAAATGCTCCAGCCATAGGTATGTATAATGGAATCTAACCAACTTTTCATCTCTCTTTTTTGGTGCAAGTCAGAGATTAAGGGGAAAGACATGCCATCATCACTGGTTTCCTTACACAAAGGTTTCTCAGAGTGGGGTCTTTATTCCCATAACTCTCTGTTTTCACGTATCTCACATCATAAAATAACCAATTAGATTTCTGTCACAGAATATATATTCTAATAATGCAATGTGTTAATTACTTGTGCTGGCAGGACTGCTGACCGACAAGTCAGTGGTTCGAATTCAGGGAGAACAGGCTGAGCTCCTTCTGTCAGCTCCAACTCCCCATGCAGGGACATGAAAGAAGCCTCCCATAAGGATGGTAAAACATAAAACATCTGGGCATCCCCTGGGCAACGTCCTTGCAGATGGCCAATTCTCTCATACCAGAAGTGACATGCAGTTTCTCAAGTTGCTCCTGACACACACACATACTTTAAAAAAATAGATTGAAGAGTGATGCACATGCTATAATCCCTTTTCATGGATTCACTTCTTGAGTGAAAGGGGGATTCAGGATTGCACCTATTGTCTTCTCTGAATTTCCATGTATTAAGTCAAAGATATGAACCATTCCAACACATTTTCAAGTGAGATGCATGGGGGCTCCATCATAAGAACACAAATGTCAAAAAAGACACATTTGTGATCATATGCACAGATCCAGTGTAGTAGCTATTCAAACTTTAGTATGGAAACCCAAAGGTCAGCAGACAAACCAACGTACACAATCCCTCGTTATCTTCTAGAGTTTGGAAAAGTGCCTTTTATGGACTACACCCACTATTGTCTCCCAGCTGGCATGGCCATTATAATCTCCAAAAGTAATTTTTCTGTGGTCATTTCTTCGTCCATATGTGCAGCCCAAAGATTATGGACATAAACTTTCATGAATGTCATGCTTTGCATGAAAGAACAAAAAGTCTCACAAGTGTTTTCCCAGATGGGTAACATCTTTGTCCCCTTCTCCCCCCCCCCCCAAAAAAAAAATCAGCGCAGCATAATTTTACTCATGTAGAAGTAAAAGTGAATTTACTCATGTATAAGAGAGTCAGTGTGATGTAGTGATTTGAGCTTTGGACGATGACTCTGAAGACCAAGGTTCAAATCCCATTCAGCCATAGAAACATTCTTGGTGGCCTTGGACAAGTCACTCTCTCAGCCTCAGAGGAAGTAAACAAACATCACTCCTGAACAAATTTTGCCAAGAAATCCCTGTGATAGGTCTTAGGGTTACCATAAGTTGGAAATGACTTGAAGGCACGCAACAACAAAAGATACAAACAGGATATCAGCCATAGATTTATTCTCAAAATATGTTTTCTGCATAAAATAAAAGATAACCTTTTCGCCAAAAAAATAGGAGGGTTTGATGCAAATGAGTTGTTCTCCCCATTTGTTTCCTGAAATATGAAAGGTGTGCATCAGTTGACCATCTTCTTGTTGGTGTATCTTGATGTGTTCAAATCCCATTCTCACTGAAACTTAGAAGAACTTGAAATCGTTCTTTACATTCCTCCTAAAGATTCAACATGTGAGCATGGAACCTACATGTGTACAGCCATCAGAAATTAATAATGACACTCACTCTGATTGACAAATATCACACTTCCACCTTACATTTTGAGGCATGCACTTCAAAAACGTTGGGTGAACACAAATACTTTTTAAGGATGGAAAGCTCTTTTTTAATTGTACCTTGCAATGTTTGTAAACATTGGAGAGGAAGTTGCATTGTAATTCTAAAATCTGCACTGACTATTCAGCTGAGAATTTTCCTTCTGGCAGTGGCACTCTCTGAGACACTTGCAGTAATAATGAAATAAATCTGGGATTCACATTTAGAATACATGGAAAGTATGCATTATGCCTCTTTGACCTATTTAGTCACTTATCAATAATATGTTACAGTGGTGGAGATAATACAGGCTTGAAGGCACACAAAAACAACAACAACAAATGCTGTGGAAGTGAAACAAAGAATGGTTTTAAGCTCCTCAGTTATTATTGTTGTCATTAAGGATTCTGCATCTTTCCAATATTTGTAGAGAGCTTGAGAGCAAATTTTAGGATGCGCATCACATGCAAACATGTTACATTTGTAGAAAGGTGTGACACAGAGGGAGAAAATCATGAAAGCTTTTCTTGCTAATAATGTGGCACAGTCAAGACTGAAATTTCCATGCTGGTTCTGATAAAAAGGAACCCTTTTTTGTTGCTGCATTTGACATTAATTGTGGAGAAAATTGCTTTCTATACAGTACTTAAGAATTCATTCTGCTTTTCTTGTTCTGCTTCTTGAGAAGTTGACAGGAGGCCTGGGGGAAAGTTTACAACTACCCCATGTCTGCTATACAGATTTGATCCCATTTAAATCGGCAATTTCGCATGAGGAGAAGACAACAAAAGGTAGATCTGGATGTTATGGCAGACATGGGGTGAATGCCAAAAATAGCAGCACCATGTACAGATCTTTATGCGCCCTTCCAGTTAAATTCACTTGGTGACATGACAGCATTATACTGATTTCCTCACTTTCATTTCACACTACCAGCTGGTGGAGGGTGAGCAAACTCACTGTGAGATCACAGCATGCAAATGGAAAGATGGGAGGCCACCGGGCTCAAAACATTTATTTATTTGATTGATTAATTTACCTCCTTTGTCCCAAGGAACCCAAGGCAGCTCACAGCATAATTAAAAAAACAAGTAGAGAATACACACACACATCCAGTGATAAAATATTGTTTAAAATGTGATCAAACTATCTTATTAAAACACGATGAATTTTAAATTTACCCAGTCTGCACTTACCAGAAAGCAGCCATTGTAATTGATGGGGATCTCTTCCCATGTCACTGAGGAAACAGCTAGCTAATGTTTTCACTTCTGTCCTTGTGCAAGCAATGTCTGGGCAAAGGGGATTTGCAATGGAGATCCTACTTTTGCCTGACCCCTGGAAATCACTTACAGGAAAGATGGAAATGGCAATCTGCTGCTTCCTGAGTGATCAAGGAATAGACCACCTGTCAATCACATTGGCTGCTTCATGGTACATACTGAATGGAGGAGTCAGGCTGGGATTTATTGATAACACCATAATTATGGTGTACATATATCTCCCATGCCATTTACTTGGAGAGCCGGCTGGATGCAACTAGACCTTGAAAAATTACTTTTTTGGATGAATAAATTAATAATTCCCCTAACACAGTGGTTCTCAACCTGTGGGTCCCCAAGTATTTGGCCTACAACTCCCAGAAATCCCAGCCAGTGATGCTTCCCCATGTATGATGAGGAAGCATTGCTGTTGGAAAGGTGGGGCACAGGACACCGGGATTGCCCTGCTGCCCCACTGATTCGCCAGTGAGAGAATGGAGGGATGCAAGGTTAGGATGACTACAGAAGGCCAAAGCCTCCTACCCAATCTGGATCAGGCCCTCCACATTTGCCTTGAAGTTTTACTAATGTTTAATGCTTAAAAGAGAGGGTTTGAGAACTTGAGTATGACATTATGTCTGTGCTGTTGAATTAGGATGCCCATCCCTTTTGTCCAATGAGTACATCATATCAGCCAACACATATTTTGGTGTTGTGAATATTAGGTCTGTTTCTAGGAATATTTGACCTGCAGATTCCAAAAATGGGACCAGTTTTCTCCTATCAGCTCTAGTTTTTGAGAAACAGAACATATGCAATATACTATTCACCATATGCTCACCCATAGAAAATCATAACCATATTTAAGAAACTAGAACTGATAGACCACATGCAATGCAATGCAATCACCCTAACTAACCCAAGGAACAGGCCTAAAAAACAAGCTACCAATATTTTTTTGTCACTGGGTTGTGTGATCTTTAAGAACTACATGCAAAATGACTCCAATGTGATCCTATCCGTTCTTGGAAGAGCTCCACTTATTCAACCTGCCCATGTTCTTGAGAATTGTGTGTGATTCATTTTGTATAAGAACTATCCCAAATCTGTATATTTAGAGCAAAAACTTTGGGGTTTTTTTTTAAAAAAATAATAATTTGGGAGTAATTCTGAGCAGGAATCATAAAACTTTAATACAAAAGGTTCCTTCTCCCTTTTTGTTTCTGAGCTTAATTACAGGAAATAATATAAGATTTAGACCTGTGTCTACTATTTATTTATTTATTTATTGTATTTATATACTGCTTTTATCACCCCAGGGGGGACTCAAAGTGGTTTACAACAATAATGGCAAAATTCAATGCCTCACATACATATAAAACCAAATTATAAAACAAAACAAAACATAGAACTATGCATTAAAATCAATAAGACAATTAAACAAAAGATAAAACAACATTTAGACATGAGGACATATAAATTAAAACCACCTAATATAAACATTAAAATCACATGATCCAAACTCAATAGACCAAGGCCATTCCAAATATTGATTGCACATATTCCAGACACAATCAAGGAAGCCATGGCCCAGAGTCTGCAAGACCTGAGCCGGAAGCCTTGGAGGTCTCTCATTCATAGAGTTGCCATAAGTTGAAGTCAACTTGAGGATAATTAAAAACAGCAAAGGAAAAGTTATACTGATTTTAAAGGCATATTTATCTTTTTACTATTTTTACTATTTGCAATAACAGACCATGACTACTGTGATATCTAATTTTGTGCACTAACAGACATATATATCTTTCCATTTTGCCCCTTGCAGATTTTTCAAAAGGCTCTTACCGGTATGCACCAATGGTGGCCTTTTTTGCTTCACATACCTATGGAATGAATTCTCCAGGCCCTATTCGATTCAACAATCTGGATGTCAACTATGGGTCCTCCTATGTCCCAGCAAATGGAAGGTTCCGTGTGCCATATCTTGGCGTTTATGTCTTTGAATACACCGTTGAATCAAGCAGCCCACTCTTCTCAGGATATTTGGTGGTTGATGGAATAGATAAGCTAGCTTTCCGTTCTGAAAATGCAAATGATAACAAGTATGTTGAGAGGGTCATTACTGGTGATGCCTTACTGGAACTGAACTATGGACAAGAAGTTTGGCTCAGGCTGGCAACAGGTTCTATCCCAGCAAAATATCCACCCATAACTACATTTACTGGTTATTTATTGTACCGTACATAAACCAGTTGCATACAAAAGCTTGTCTTCTACGAAGGAAACACTTTGGTTCTTCTTTGCTTGAATCTTGTTCCATGCAGTGAAATGAATCACATTTAAGGTTACCACCTTCTTTTGTAGGTCTCTTCTATCTTTGACTTGTGTAACAGAAAGAAATTAGATGTAAAAAATCTTTGCCATCTCTCCTGTATAAGAAAAAAAGTTGACTTAAATCATATTAGTCCCAACTAAAATAGATCAATTGGATTTACTAATGTATTGACTCTTCATTCAGCGATGGTTTCAATTGATCTGCTCTTGTTGGGTCTAATCCAAAGGATTATGGAATATATTGGTTTCGTTTCCACTCATCAACCAGTTTCTTTATTTTTCATTGCTACTTCTTTTCTAGAATCTCCAGCGAAAAATAAGTGGCAACTGTAATCTCATCTGAAACCCCTCCATGCTTGCTATCTCATTTTACCTTGTATTGGGTCAGTTTGTAAATAGCTCTCCCAGGTAACTTGTTATAGGAATATTTTCTATATACTCTGCTATTTTCTGCTATACTCAGCTAAAACATGGGCCTTGGCTCAGAAAACTAAGAATTAAGGGGCAACATCATAACCTCCACTCACTTGTATTTCATTTAAGACTCACAACTGAGTTTACTGTTGTTGCACAGAAATGCACTTCCAGATTTGTCATAGTCCCTCAGCAGTTTAAAATTGAAGGTGAAGAAAATCTCTGTTCTTTTCTTCTCCCCCACCTCCTCCTCCTCCCTTGTCCCTTTCACCACCAAAGCATGGTCAATCCACTGAAAATCCCAAATTCTGTTACTGGCTTCTGATCCACCTTCTGGCTTGTTCCAATCTGCTTTACAAACTAGTCAGATCACAATGTCTCCATTGCCTTCATTTTGGAAACAAACTCCTGTGAAGTTGCTTCAAGTTTTGTCAATCAAATCGGGTGGATGGTTATAGTCTGTCATGTACAGGCAGAGTACTCAATGTTAAACTTCCATTCTCATTTGCTTGTATTATATTCTGTAATTAGTAAGACACTTTACTGTGAAAAATCTCTGTTCAAATCATAGAATTCAAGAAGGCATGACCTCTCAATGATGGCATATATCCTATCAAAAACTCACAAATTAACCAACACTATTAAATTCATCAAACCGTTGAAGCAAAGGTGTCATATTGAAGTCCCAGCAGAGTGGAGGAGGGCAAATGTCCCTGCCTTCAAGCAAGGAAAAAGGAGGACCCAAATAGTTACCATCCAGTCACCCCAACATCAATACCTGGAAAGATTCTGGAGCACATCATTCAGGAGGCAGTCTGCAGTCATTTAGAAAAGAATGCTGTGATTACTAAAAGTCAACATGGATTTTTCAAAAACAACTCATGCCAGACTAATCTTCTCTCTTTTTTCAATAGAGTTAGAAACTTGGTAGATGCAGGGAATGCTATGGATGTAGCATAACTTGAATTCAGTAAGGCCTTTGATGAGGTCTCCCATGATCTTCTTGCAAACAAGCTATTAAAATATGGACTACATAATACTACCATTAGGTGGATTTGTAATTGGTTAAGTGACCGAACCTAGAGAGTGCTAACCAATGGTTCATCTTCATCCTGGAAAACATGACTAGTGGAGTGTCGCAGGATTCAGTTGTAGACTCAGTGTTGTTCAACATCTTTATTAATGACTTGGATGAAGATTTAGAGGGCATACTTATCAAGTTTGAATATGACACCAAATTAGGAGGGATAGCTAATACTTCAGAAGACAGGAGCAGAATCAAAATCACCTCAACAGATTAGGTAGCTGGGCCAAAACTAACAAAACAAACTAAAACAAGGAGAAGTGTCAGACACTTCACTTAGGCAGAAAAAATAAAATGTTACAGGATGGGTAATACCTGACTCGACAACAGCACATGGGAAAAAGATCTTGGAGTCTTAGTGGACAGCAAGTTGAACATGGGCCAACAGCATGATACAGTAACTAAAAAGCCAATGGGATTTTGGACTGCATCAAAAGTCGTATAGTGTCTAGATCAAGGGAAGTCATGGTGCCTCTTTATTCTGCCTTGGTCAGACCTCACTTGGAATACTGTGTCCAAATCTGGACACCACAATTTAAAAGAGACATTGACAAGCTGGAAGGTATCCAGAGGAAGGCAACTAGAATGATCAAAGGTCTGGAGACCATGAATCCCTGTGAGGAGCAACTTCAAGAGCTTGGGATGTTTAGCCGGCAGAAGAGAAGACTGATAGGAGACATGATCACCATGTTTAAATATTTGAAAGGCTGTCATAAGGAAGAGAGAGTAGGCTTCTTTTTCTGCTACCCTGGAGAATAGGATTCAGAGCAATGGGTGCAAATTACAGGAAAAGAGATTCCACCTGAACATTAAGAACTTCCTGACCACAAGAGCTGTTCAACAGTGAAACTCTCTGCCTTGGAATGTGGTGGAAGCTCCTTCCTTGGCTGGGTGGCCATCTTTTGAGGGTGCTTTGGTTGTGTTTTTCTTGCATTGCAGGGGGTGGGACTAAATGGTCCATGTGGTCTCTTCCAACTCTATGATTCTATGAAGATACTGAAAGAGGGCCATTCTCTAACCTAAAAGAATGTTGAGAAAAACTATTCTTCGTCCATTGCCTAATTCAAATGTGGTATATTGTTTCTGTCATACTATTCACAAGGGAAATCTGTGATGAAAATCTGATTAAAATCCATATATTTAATCTGGGTTTAGTAAATTAGACAATTAATAGCATCAGTTAAGGTATTAACCCATTTCACTTTCTGAAGACCAGCTTCATGGCTGTCTTATAAGAAATCCACAATGTTTAAAATGTCAAACAAAGAGAGTGTATTTTAGTGTACATTCCTAGCCTCTACTGAAAAATTCAATCTACTTTGGATTTTTCTTTTTAAAAACCCTGTCTTGTGCTTATAAAACACACCACAAAGCCTAAAACTATATTTTTCACTCCCTTTCCTCCAATAATGCATATCTTTCTGTAACTACTTAAAATCCTGATCTTTCACGAACCTATCCTAGCGTATCATTGAATTTTATCAAATATCTTGCCCACATGGCTAAATCCCTCCCCACCCCTTGTATGACTTTGTCAGTTTAATAACCTGTTTAGTCCTCTTTATCCATGCTATGGATATGGCTAAATGGCGTGGAAATTACTCTGCAAATGAAATTCAAATGACCCACAAGAGACTGCATCTCCCTCTTTAAATACGACTTTCTTTGCCCTTCCTGCCCTTACTACTAAATCCTTCAAGCCAGGTCCTCTATCTGCTGAGATGCTAATTGTTTTCTTCCAAATTCAGATTTCTGATAGGGTCTGGTTGTTTCTCTCCCTCACTACCCCTTTTTACTAATAAATTTCATTTCTGTTGATCACACTCCAGACAGTATTAACAACCATAAATATATGTGTGTTGTTAGGGTGGGGATGGGGATTTATAGTAAGATGTATATACCAGTGGTGTACCAGTAATAATAATTAAAAATTATACCTGACTTGCCTATTTACAGACTCACATTTCTTCTTGGTTCAGTACAATCACTCCTGTATGGATTTGTTTACACTTGATATTTTTTGAGTTAAACTAGGGGCACTTTCATAGTACACAATCCCATCTGAGCTGCCACGCTTCTATTGTTTTGGTGTTTAGGGAAGGATATTGAGAATTATCTACATGAAAGCTGTAGTGCATCCCTTAACTACTAACCCTGGTATTCAATAGGATGCAGCCATGGCACATATGGCATCAGACGGGATGAATTTAAAGTCCTAGGACACTTTTACATAATGTAATGGATGGGGCCCCATGTCAGACATCACACAACATTGCGTGACTTCTGGTGGAAGCTCTGCCCTGAACCAGGGTGAAAGTGTTGCTGGACGCTTTCTTCCCAACACGGATGGCTTTCTGTGTTGTGCTAGCCCCAAAATATACAAACAAACACAAAATAGTCTATACATTGGGAGAACAATAATGATCATATAGTATGTAGTAACACCATAATCCCCAATGCAAAGCTCAATACAATGCAAAATAATTATTTGAGAGCAGTTGCTCCTTTTTCATTGTATTTTTCATTGCATTGTATTGAGCTTTGCAGTGGGGATTATGGTGTTACTACATACTATATGGTCATTATAGTTCTCCCATTGTATAGACCATATTGTGTTTGTTTGTATATTTTACAAGTATTCTCGGATATTGCTTACTAGCTCCAAAAGAGCCAGCACAGGGCCTCATGTGGGGAGGGCACACTTTCCCCATGTGATGGGGGAAATGTCATGGAGAGGGAGCTGCACTTGAGGTGACAGATTTGTCCCGCTGCCCCTCTCTTTTCTCCAGATACCAGGTGAAGTGGGACGCTTTGCCTGGACTTTATGATGAGGCCCTTAGAGTAAAATTAAGGGGATATAACTATGCAGCCTGGATGGGCTCTATGGTTTTAAGAGTATGGTGATGAGTTTGGGGCATTGGAGGGGGAAATTGTGTGTTTTTGGGAGGAAGATTTTTTAGCAAAATTTGGGCATGATTTTCATCTAAGATATAAATAGTTAAAAATATGATTGAAAAACTAAATTTGCATCAATGGGGTCTTTCCATTAGGAAAATGTATAATTTTCTCTAGAAAAGAACTGACAAAAACGTTTTCAAAAATGTGGGGTCATTCATTGGCTGTGTACTGCAATTTACATTGCAATTTACACTGCAATATACAAGCAACACATGAATTTTGGCAGAGAGCTTGGCAGCATTTTGAATAACCTGATTCTAGATATCACACACCATGCTAACCTAAGAATCCGAAAGGCTCTTGACATACAGCTATATATATCTTCATGTTCTCCCTTTGCAGATGGTTCTCTCAGTACATTAGGACTGGAACCAGCATGACACAAGATGAAGGATGGAAAAGCATTTTGTCAGATTGAATATCATGAATAAAAGTACACTTTTCACATATTCTAGTACTGGTGAGAAGAAACATCTGTCTCTTTGAGAATCCATACATTTATGAGTCTTACTGGGTGTGGAGAAGCAAGAGAGACCATATTGCTTTAGCATAGTGTAATTGTTTTAACAGCAGAGTTACATTATGAAACCTCTACACTGAATACCAATGTACAGCAACATATGTGGATCAATAAAACGTGACTGACAACCCACTGTGTAATTGCAATGCAAAATGCACAAAGGCCATGTAGAGAGGCAATATCCATTCACACCCGACTTTGTATACTTTCACATGTTGCCATGTGTACAGTGGTCCCAAATTTGCAATTCTGCTTATGTCATCCTCAGTGAGATGTAGACTTTCTTATTGTTTAACATTATACATTGTTAAACAATAAATACAATAAAAATAACTCCATGTGCATAGTGCAATTGCACATAGTGCAATTGCCACTAACAGGATGCCAGATACAATATGCACAGAATAATATACACATTGAAAATGATAAAAAGATGAAAAACATATACAACTTAAAAATGACAGTATACATTATCTTACTGGAAGAATGTGATCATATTAGGAAAATGTGTTTAGGAATTATATTCATATTTCAATGCATAGCCTTTAATGTTTCATAGATGATAACTTGGAAATGCATGATTATGTAACACCAGATAGTGGTCACGTCTGTGGGCTGCACTTTCACCACCCTTGGTATGTACAAGCAACACTTTAATTTTGGCAAGGGGCTAGGCAGCACTATCAATAAGCAAAACTTAGTAATGAGGAGGAATACACAAGCTAGGAGTTGATGCAGCAGTGTGCTTCTACCTGAGCCTAATGGGAAAGATGGGATTTTGTTCCCTCCTGCCCTTTGCTCCTTCCTACACTGAGTTAAGATAAACCACTTTTGCACCTTGACAGCCACTGAAATAAACTGAAAACAAAGGAACTGAGAGGAGGAGCAAAGTAACACAACTCAGTGCAACATAAGATCAGGTACAAAATGCAGGAAAAGTACAGAAGGAGATTCATAGGAATGTTGAACATAGAAATAGTTCACAAAAACCTAATTAAACTGAGATGATTTTTTTCACTCTCCTATATGACTATATTTAGTTAGCCAGGTTTACATTACTCTCTTCCAGCCTGGTGATTTTCTTATAAGCACTAACATCCAACTTTTGCTATCGCTTGATATGTTTCCTATTATGTGAAAGTGAAGCAATGGTAGAAAGACACATTAATAAAACAGAAAAGAATTAACCCAAGATTATGACTATTTTTATGCAGTTTATATGCATTTTTGTTGGTTTGGCCTCCAACTGAACCCTGTACTGGTATGCAGCTGGCAACTCCATTCATACAGCAGAGATATTGCAAGGTTCCCCATCTTTTGTCTACTTGTGTTTCCTTATCTAAACACTTAAAGGAACTAATTGGACATCATAAATTCTTGACAGAGAGGCGAATCCATCCTGCTGTGTCACCTGTCAATTGCAATCCCATTAATACTACTTATATTGCACTAGATTAGGTGCATAGGGACATACTGGCAAGGCTCTTTCTGTGCTGGAGGGAAGAAATATAGAAATTGTATTTCGTCTGCTTTTCTTCCTGTTTCTTTTCCATTGGTGGGGTTTTGGGACATGCTTACAGCCCTGCTTATTACTTCTAAACCACATTTAACCATAGGGTAATGCCACCTTGAATGTGTGCCATCCCTTTAGATTTGTCAGCAAACCAACCATGAGTTCTCTCCCAAATGCCAGAAGCCGAATCCAGGTATACCCAGAATCCACCACACCTCATTTGCATTATAGAGCATCTCAAAAGGGGCTGTGAGGTTATCGGGCCGCTTAATCTAAGGAAGCATTTGCCATTGAATATAACTGCAGATCAATACAATCAGTAGGGCCAACCATTATGCAGAAGAGACTGAAATCAATCACTCCAGGTTCCCATGGATCTTTTTCTCCTCCCTCCCTAATGCTCCATCACTCCCTTCTATAAGAGTAAGTGCAAATAGCATCTCCTGCAGCACATTCATTTTATGTTTTCTCTGATAATCCAAGGGTGAATGCTTATCTCTCCCCAAAGCTCAAAAAGGTATCCAAGTCCCCCACTGAACACAGAGCAAGCAACCTCCTCAGTATATTTGGATAGCCCAATTACCATGGCAACATTTTTATCTGCTTTGGCTTTGACAAGCCCATCCAATTTCTCCTGGCGCTTTACACTATTATTTCCTCACTTATGCCAAGCGAGCCATCCTTGAATGCCTTGGTCAGCACTTCACCTTTTAACAAATTCTCTTGCAAGCTGCAGGTTTAACAGCAAAAGCAGGCTTCCCTTTCTCCTTCGCTAGACATTCGCAGTTGCATGCCAACCTTGCAAGTCCCTGTTTGGGAAAATGAAAAGGGAGGACTGAGCTTCATCAACCTATCCTTCATTTAGGTGCTTAATTTAGGACATTCACTATGGGAAGATTTCCCATAATATTCTTCACACAGGTATGTATGCTCATGCACACAGAGAATGCATGCCTCCCCCGCCATCACATAAACTGCCTGTTAAGAAGAGTATATGGGAAAGAGTATATGAGATGAGGATAAATATGTTTCTCATGGGTAAAGATAGATGTAAATTTGTTTTCCAGTTCTGTTCTGTGTTTTATAATTGCCATACCTATTTACATACCTATTTTGATCTTCCTTTTTTTCATCTTCATTCTTAAACAGAATTTGGTTTCCTCCTTGCATGTTGTTTTTCTTGCTGTTGTTATTTGCTTCGAATGGTTTCCAGTGTATTGCAACCTTAAAGTCACCTTTCGGGTTTCCACAGACAAGCAAGCAAGCAAACCCTTGTCCTCAGAGTTGTAGTTCTATGCTCAGTTTTTCTCTTCCCTTTGCTTCTATCTTTGGCATCAGCTTTAAGTCCCTTACTAATGTTCTCTGTCTCTCATCCTTTTTGCTCATCCTTTAAACTGGCCAGCCAAGGAAGCCATTCTTTTCTGGTCTAAACTGAGCAACATAAATATAATTTCTCTGTGTACATATTATTATTCTCAGAAACTTCCTGATATTTTGGCAGGTGAAGTATGATGTCTTAAGTCAGACATACAACTTGAGGGCTTTGCAGAAGTCAAAATTCACTACTGACTGTACAATGGCCAAAATCTCCACCAAACCCAGGTTTTTCACCTGCAGTTCTCCAAATTTGGTCATTTCCTAGTTGATAAAGAGTGAGAAGAACAACAGACTATCACTCAATTATGTTCTTATAGTTGGATGTAGACAGTGCATCTATAGCAGTAAGTCCAAAACCCCGATCTTCTAGGTGTTTGGACTTCAAACCCAGAAGCTACAGCTACTTTGGAAAATGAGCAGGAGCTGAAATCCAAAGCAACAAGGTTGGGAATTACTGATATACAGAGACCCCTAAAGGACTTATGGAAGTCCATGCAGATGCCTGTTGCTATGCATCCAGCTATAGCAAACTAGCTCATGAGAGCTATGAGGTGTCTTGTAGTTACATCTCCAATATAGGA